ACACCCCTGCAGAAGCTCTAGCGGGATGCCCACCTTGCCTCTTCCGGCTTCTGGTGGCCCCAGGTGCTCTTGGCTTGTGGCCACATCCCTCTAGCCTCTGCCTCTGCCCCCCGCTCTTCTCTCCCTGTGTCTTTTGTAAATGCACTCGTCATTGGCGTTGAGGCTCACCCAGAAACCCGACGTGATCTCACTTTTGAGATCCATGAGTGAATTACATCTGCAGAGATCCTTGTTCCAAATCAGGTCACAGTCACCGGTTCTAGGGGGACTAGGACTGGGCCATATCTTTGTTTTGCGGGGTGGGGGCACCATTCAGCCCACTGCAGCAGGCGATGCAGGCAACGGCCCCGTCTGAGGGGGCTCCAGGACAGCGGGCAGGGGAGGGTGCCGAGTTCTGCACCCACTGGCCGCCGCGCCGGGCCTTTGCCTGGAGAAGCTTCTGGTCTGCAAAGAGCCGGTCCTTCCGGGGTGCTGGGAGGGCTCCAGCTGGCCTGCCGGGGCCGAGGGGCGGGAGGGAAGCGCCCGCTGACAGGTAGAGCCCTCTCCGGCTTTGATTCATTGACTGTCTGGGCCCGAGCTGGACCGAGCCACTAGGAATTACAAAAATGCCTCGCACATACTTTCCTCCGGCTGGTGGTTTTGTGCTTGGCTAACCCCCGCTGCTGTCCTCCCCCCCATCCCACTGCTTGTCTGTGGCTCTCCCCCTGCATCCCTGGCCCCCCACCCCAGACACCCTGTCCTCACACACCCTCCCTCGCCCCCAGCCACTGGCCTGCAGCTGGAGTGGGCAGGGCTTGACCGTGTCCTCATAATTGAAATTTTTGTGCCCTGAAGTGAGTCCAAAACAGGGCGGTGCTTCCCCCCAGTCAAAGGGACGGATCTGAGCTGGGGCCTTTGCCGGGGCAGGAGGAAGCTCGGGAAGTGTCCTGGATGCCGGAGCCGGTGACCAATAAAAGGCTTTCTGTCTGGGTCCCAGAGGACCCATATGGCCTTGGAATGAGGCAGAGACTCAAGGCCACTGATCCCCAAATCCCTGCCCTGGTCATGGTGCCTTCCTTCTCGCCCCCTCCTCACAGCATTGCTCACGGACCAGCTGGTGTCCCTCTGGCATTCACTGGCTCTTCCAGGAGGGAGGAAGCACCTCACCAATAAAAAGGTTTTCAAAATCCCGGGACAGGGTGGAAGCTTCTGAGTCATATTCAGCCCCTGCCCCACCTTCAAAAGTCCACCGTTAGGTCAGGTGGACAGAGCCCCAGTTTGTGCCTGTGTCATCCTGGCCCCTTGATTGGAGTCCCTTTGATTGGACTGTATTTTAGTCAGTTTTCTGTTATTCTAACAAAATATTACAGACTGGGTAACTTACAAAGAAAAGAAGTTGATTTATCTCCCAGCTCTAGAGGCTGGGAGGTCCAAGAGCATGGCACTGGGGTCTGGCGAGGACCTTCCTGCTGCATCATGACACAGGGGAAGGCATCACATGGCAAGAGACAGGGAGCGTGTGTGTCAGCTCAAGCCTCCTTTTTCTTATGAAGCCACCAGTCCCATCATGGGGGTCCCACCCTGATGACCTTATGTAACCCTAATTACCTCCCAAAGGTCCCATTGCCCAGCGACATGAATTTGGGGGTTAACTTTCTAAAACATGAAATTTGAGGGACACATTCAAACTGCAGCAGGCTGCATTGGGTGTTAGGCACCAGGTTTCGCAAAGGCAGCTGCAGAATCGGCCCCCTAGGAATGCACTCACCTGCACATATGGCTGGGTCTGCAGATGGGGTCCCTCATGTCACCCACTGCCACCCACCACGTGTCTCCAGGGAGAAATTCCCTTTCAAACCCAATCCCAGGACAGGCTCTGCTTTCCCTGAGACTCCTCTTTTCTGATTATGAGAATCACATAACAAGATCACATTTCCCTCTTTCCTTGAGCTGCCAGGAAGTTCAGAGCCAACTTTGAAGCTCAGCTATGGAGATTACAGCCACCGCCCCCTGGGATCTGCAACATTTATTTTCTTTCTTTCTGTGTTAGTTTCTTTCTTTGTTAGTTTTCTCTCTCTGTTTATATTTTCTCTGATCCTGATTCTACATCAGTTTTTTTATTGCTAATCTGTGCCTTCTGTTGTAAGCTGTTTTACAGGCTGTTTACAAAAAGAGGACTATTAATAGGGAAATAAATACATCGTGGTTCCATTATGACGTTAATATTTATTGCTGAAAATGTGCTTGTTTAGCATAATAAATGGGTTCCCCTTCTGCGCTGTATTTGGATTTAGAGCAGTTACCTGTAAGACTTCCTTCTCCCAGTAACTAACCCTGAGCTCCTGGCGCGCAGAGGCCCTTACCAGCCCGACAGGTGAGCAGACTTGGGATGTCCATGGAGATGTGCAAACACCAAGAGCATCTCTCCCAAGCTCGATGATGCTGGGATAGTCCCTTGGCCTCCCTGGGCCTCAGTTTCCTCATCTGTGAAATGGAGAGAGTAACCCAGCCCCAGCTCACAGAGCGGCTGGGAGGTTCTTGAGATGGGTAGGAAAACGCTTTGTGAACTGTGAAGTGCAGGCGTCGCAGAGCCCGTGGGCTTGTGTCCCCTGTGGGAGGGGTGCTGGTGATTGTCCCCTTAGGGTGTGGGGGTCCCGTGTCCTGTGGAGCTCCTCAGAGCCAGGAGGGGAGAAGTCTCCACAGGGGTATCTAGGGTTTCCAACTGACTCACCATAGGCCTGAGGTCAGGGGCCCTCTCTGTCCTCGGTTTCTCTGGGCCTGGGACTCAAGGTACCATTAGGATGAAGCAGCCGGGACATCTGTCCCCCCTGCTCGTGCGTGCCCTCCCCATCAACCTGGCAGTGGCCTTGGACTCAGGGCTGTGCGAATCCTCCCTTCTGGGTTCCTGGAGGTGGGGGGCACGGCCCCTGCCCCCGCAACGAGGGAGCCACAGCGATGGGCACAGCAGAGTTTCATCCCTCTGTGCCCGTCTGCGCGTGCGCGGCAGTGCCAGCCCGAGTCACAGGGACTTTCTATCTCCCTACTTGCTGGCTCCTTCGAGCAACCTTGTGAGGCGCACCGGATGGCGTTCATCTCTGACTATTGCCACTTCACAGATAAGAGCGCTGAGCTCAGAGAGGGTCACAGGACCGACCGCACGTGGTACAGCCGGCCACAGCCGGGCGAGGACCCCGGCGTGAGGGGAGGGCCTTCCCGGCAGAGCAAGCGCCTCCCTTCCTCCCACCAAGGGATTGTTTCCGCCTCTTATTTGGAGAGCGACCCAATAACCAATTAACAGCCCTTTGTTCTCTGTGGCCGGGCAGGGCCCTCCCCACACTGCAGAATTCCCCAGAGAGGCAGGGAGAGCCCCTAGGCCCTGTCCAGCCCCCACCCCACTGTGCCCCAGTTAGGACCTGACACCCCGTAATTCCCTCCCTCTCTGCGCTTTGCCATTTGTTTTGTTTCACCCTAGCTTCCTTCCCAGGTTTCTTTCTGAAAGGCTGCTTCGACTGTCTCCCCTGAGTGGAAGGGAGGGGTGTTTCCAGCCCTGGGCGGCTGGGACGGGAGGACGAAGGACGTTGGCGGGTGTGGCCGATGGCCCCAGCCAGCCCGGAGGGGCGGGAGACGCTGGAAGCTGCGCTTCGGGGGGACGACTCAGAAACATCTGTGGGCCTGACTGCCTTGGCGATCTGCACTTGGCGATCTGCACTTGGCCGTGGCCTCATGAGGAATGAGAGATGAAAGCGCAGGGTGGCCGTTCTCCAACTTTAGTGAGCGCACAGATACCCTGGGAGCCTGTTAATGGGCAGATTCTGGGGATGGCGGTGAGGCCAAGATTCTGCACGTCTGATCGGCTCCCAGGCGAGGCCAATGTCGCGGGGCCAGGCCCTTCATTGCACAGAACAGAACGGACCACAGCCCAACCCCCCCCTGACTCTTAGTGCTGTGCTCCCCCCACCCCGACCTTGACCTTGCCGCCTGCTGTGGGCCTGGTTGGTCACACACATCCTCCCGCACGGGGTTATTAATTGTCCCTACCAGCCTGTGAGCTTCTGGAAGGTTTGGGCCATGTCCTATTCATCTTTGGAATCTGGCGCAGAACCTGACCTTTATAAACACCCATGAACGAACAAGTGGGTGACTCTCAGAAACACTGCCCAGATCCCCAAAAGGAACCTCGGCCGGGGGAGCCCCAGCCCCAGCCCCCAGAGCAAAGCACAGGCAGACGCCTGGGGCCACTCCAGAGCCCCAGTGCCTGTGGCTTCCTGGTTCTGACCTCAAATTCCCCAAGGAAGAGGTGGCAGGAGGCTGGGAAGAAGGTTGCAGTGGAAGGAGGTCCCCAAGGGTGAAGCAGGAGGAAGGACGGCAGTGTCCCTTGCGGGAGAGCTACTCGGGCCCAGAAAAGCCCCACAGAAAAGCCATCGGGGAGGGCAGAGTCAGCCTCAGTTCTGGCCCCAGCATCCTGTGTGGTTCTGGGCAGGACTCCTGTCCTTCCTGCTCTGGAGTCATTCAGGCCTGTCCTGTTATGTCCCTGTGGATAGGGACACCATCAATGGACCACTCCTGGGTGACAGAGACCTAGCCAATTCGTATCTTCCAGGTCCCTGAAGTTCCAAGTAGGGAAAGAGCATGAGATTTAGAGGTAAAGGGGTGGCCCTAAACATTTCGGGTGACTGTGGGTGCGTGGTTTCCTCTCTGAGCCTCAGTTTCCTCCTCTGGGAAGTGGGGATGGGTCTGTGGGAGTCAGGTGGGGGGCTGGGAGCAAGTGGGCTAAGACATCAAGCAACACCCTCCCCACTTCTGAGCAATCCACCCCTTTCTCTGGTGGCACCCCATGATCTGGGCACCACCCACCTTGTTCCACCTGGGCCCAAATCCTGCCCACCCACCCCTGCCCCGCAGCGCCCCCTCTCCCCTCCTGCCCTGGGCCGAGCCGACCCCGCACGGCCGGTGCCCAGGATGGGGACGGTCCCACACGCCCAGCCCATCTCGCCACATCAGCGCACTCTGCAGAGCCAGCCAAGAGCAGATTCTTTATTCATTTCTCCTTTTTCTTAAAAAAAAAAAAAGTATTCCTTCGGTATAAAAAATAAATATTTTAAATATGACATTGAATAAATAAAAAATCTGTCAGCATGAAACATCCCCACAGGGTACATTCATCAAAGAGGAAATTGTAACCCAAGGCCAAGTCCTTTCCAGCAGAAAGCCAGGAGGGAAACCTCTAAGGCCACACGGTGGGCCACCGGGCCAGCACGTGGCACCGGGGTCAGGTGGGGACTGGAGACGGGTCTAAGGTACCCGTCTGTACCGTCCGAAGGGAAATCGCTACCTCGCTGGAGTCCGGGGCTCCAACCCGCTGCGCTACGTCACCTCTGCAGAGCCGGCCTGCTTGGGCCAGGGTGGACGTCCCGCAGCCAGGGACAAAGAAGAGGACGAGGAGGACCGGGAGGAGAGATGAATAAACTAGCAGTGCTTTTTCATTTCAATTTTTAAATAATAAATAAGGGCCCCATACTTCTCTCCTGATAAATTACAAAGTGACTGTCCTGCCCTGTCCTCTGCCAATGGTGCCTCCCTCCCCCTCTGGCCCAGGGACAGGTGTGGCCAACAAGAGCAGATGAAAAGGAACAGAAGTGCAGCTCCCAGCCCGCGAGGCTGTGTTGCACGAGGGCTCCCCGATTCAGTGGTGCCGTGCAGCCCAGCGGGGTCTGGACAGAGCTGAGGTTTGTGCCCAAGGGCTGAGTCCAGGCTGGGCAGGAGGGTGTCACAGAGCCGGCCACCGTGCGGACAGCAAGGAGATACTCTGCTTCCTGAGCCCTTGGAGCCGCCCGGCGGGGCCCCACACAGCATCCGTGTCCGCGGGGTGACCGGAGAGTGGGCAGGCCCCTGCTTCCAGGTAAGTGTGTTCTTCTGGAAGCCCAGCTTGGGGGAGCGCAGCTAGGTCCACGCCAAGCCTCTGCGACCCACGTTCAAACAGCCATATCTTAGTCTCGCTGTTGGGATGGACAACTCCTAGCCCGCCACGCCCACCCGGCCTCGGGGCCTGCCCACCTGCCATCCAGGTAAAGTGCTTAGAGAACACCAGAGAAAGGTGCAAAGTGAAGTGCCCTCATTAGTGCCACAATCTTGTGGCTGAACTTGGAGGAGTGCCCTGCTCTGGGCTCAGACGGCTGCTCTGAGCAGCGTGTCCCTCCCCTGCTCTCAGACGGAGGGCGTTTCTCCACTTGCCTGGCCCCAGCGAAAGGAAAGGATCGGGTTCCCCGCCTGGGAGCCCAGACATGGGTGGGAGTGGGAGGGGGTGGGGCAGGAGGGACCACAGCTTCCTGGTCCGAGTCCCAGCCGTCTCAGGCCTCGCTCGCCCTCCCTGGAGGAGGGGCGGCTGCTTCCCCACCGCTGCTCCGACTTCCCGGGGTCCAGCCAGGCCCCCACGCCCTCCGTGGGTGTTCGGGCCACCGGAGGAGCTTCCCCGCCGCGTGGGAGCATGCTGGGTGCTGCGGACTGTTCCAGGGCCCCTGACTGCTAGTTCAGAGGCAGCCTGGGGGCAAGGGAACAGCGACGGGGCAGGCCACCAGGGCTGCCTTGCCCACTGCTGGGGGTGCCCTTTCAATCAGCAATGGTGCTGCTTGTTGCACAAAGCCAGGGGTGCCAGAGCACAGGGTGAACCAGCCCCCTGTGGCCAAGAAAATCAAGCATCTGGCCTAGCCCCTATAGCCCGGACCCTGACACCACCAAAAGGAGTCACAGTGGGGCTGGGGGACGGAGCCAGGTCCCCCACCTCCACCCGGGCCTCGAGTTCTCTCAGATCCTGACACTTCTCTGAGCTTCACCGTGTTCCACTTGTAACATCACCGCCTGCCAGACCAGGCCCTGCCAAGCCCCAGAGCTGGCTCCTGTGTAAGGAGCCCGCACAGTATTTTTGTTGAGTTAAGGAGCAGGAAAGGGGAATTGACTTTGCCATTGAAAGCACCAATAAGTTAATATAAATAGGACATCATAATAAATAGAAATCACGCTGGGTCAGACACAGCATTCTTGGACCTCAGGCTTCCCTGAGACCTTGACCTCAAGTTCTACTGCCCCCTTGCACTAGGGACCAGAGACGGCCTCTGGTCTCCCTCAAGTACCTTTGTGTGACCTCATAGGGCCTCTGTGGGCCTCAGATGGGAACTGCTGCTCTGAGCCACCCCAGCCCTTCCCCCACAGACCCTGCCCAGAAGGAAGACGCTGGGTCTCCCAGAACCTTCGCAACCTGTCCTGCCCTGCTCACCTGCACAAACCCACCTCCAGTGACCGCCAGACCCTGGCTGGCCAAGGCTGCAGGGAAGACTGCAGGGAAGAGAAGACGAGCCCGCTAAGGCTTCCATGGTCTCTCCTCCTTCCCAGGCCTGAAGGTGGCCTTTCTGCCTCTCCAAAAGCCTGCACACCAGTGGCCTCCTTCTAGAAACTTCCACCTGACAGTCCCTAAGCCTGAGCTCACGAGAAGACAGCAGCCCACCCCAGGGCCCCTTCTCTGTCTTCCACTCACCAAACTTCTAGAGGACAAGGTGTCCTCTGGCATCCCAGCACCTCTGGCCCACTCGAGTGCCCCTCGAGCCTTCCGAAGTCTACCCAAGGGACAGCAAAGGCTGTCATTCGCTGGGGCCAGCAACTCTCCTGAGCCCTGCTGGCTCGCCCTGTGGCCAGGGCTGCTGCAGACAACTTGTGTGGTTTGCTCACTGCACAGTGAGCAATGGACTGAGGGGACAAGAGGGGGCAGAAGTCCAGCCCACACCCCCCTTGCCAATCCGACACGTGGTCGCATCTCCCAGAGGAAGGGGCACCTTCTTCGAGTCAGCGCTGGCCGTAGGCCCTGCCCACAGAAGTGACGACCCTGCTCAGTTCCAGCACAGCCCACCCGGCGTGCAGTGGACAGCTAGGAACCCCGTGGGGTCTGCCAGCAGCCCCCATTTGGGCTTGGTGTGTCCCTGGCCACCCCTTGAGATCCCCCCACAACTGGATCCCACTCCCTAAATCCCTCGGTTCATGGCGCACTCCGAGACCCCTGCCTAGAAGGCCTGGGCCACCACGGCGATGACCTGCTTGTACTTCCCCAGGAGCTGACAGCCCAGCTTCTTCTTCTGGAAGACGTCCTTGCCCGAGGTGTCGGGGCCGTAGGCCACGTCCACATGGGCCACGTGGTACTTGCTGCACAGGCGGCACAGCACGTTGCTGAGGAGGCCCCGCAAGACGTCGGCGGTGGCGTTGAGCTTGCTGTGCAGGCTGAGGGCGCTGGGGTTAAGGAGCTTCTGGTCCCGGGTGATGTTGCCCAGGGAGGCACCCAGGTACGCGATGACGCGATACAGCTCCACCAGCTTGGCCTTCTCCGTGCCGTTGGCGTGGAAGGGCGGGAAGTCCGTCACGTTGGGGCCACACAGTTTGTCCAGATTGTTGGGGAACGGCTCCCCCTGGGCTGTGTACTGAGGAGCAGAGGGGCAGAGGGGAAGTGTCGGGGGGGGGCAGCGTCCCAGCCCTGCCACCAACCCTCTGGGCAAGCTCTTGGGCCTCTGTTTCCCCACCTGTGACATGGGGACCCAACTCCTTGCTCTATAGGCGTCTAGAATAGTCATGACAGCCAGGAGTAATGGTAGTGTGAGCACCCTTGCTGGAGAGCAAGATCTGGACCAGGCAAGTGGACATCATTATCACCAGCATTACCATACGGGGACAGAAGGGAAAACGCAGCAGCTTGTCCCAGCTGGTGCGCATGCTTATGCTTGCTTCTACCTGAGCTTCCTTCTACTGGCTCAGCTCTTCCTGGGGACCCCTCCAAGCCAGCGCTCCCAGCGCACTGTCCCCCAACACACGGTGCCTGCAGTCCCTGCTTCCCCCGGCCTCCCTCTCGATCCCCACAGTGGAGCAGCGCCAGGACTAGAAGTGCTGGGGCCCCCTATACCCCCTAGTCTGCCCTCACTGACTGGGCACCCCGGGAAAGCACGAGGAGGAAGCCCCCTCCCCACTCTCTCCTTCCAGCTCCAAAAGGGCCCCCTCGGCTGGCTGGGTCAGGGAGCACCTGCTGACACGTGTGAGCCCCGCCGCCAGCACCCCACTGGGTGACCCAGGACAACTCACATAGAGAATGAAGAGGGCATTGGCGCTGCCGTTGAGCTGCGCCAGCTGGTTCCTGATCTGGTTCATGAGGTTGCTGTGACATGGGTGGCGTGTGGCGCAGGTGCCGTTGCCAGGGGTGATGGGGAGGGGGCTCCCTGCCCCGTGTTTCCAGTGCAGAACCAGCAGCAGGGGCACAACTCCTGGGGATGGGCAGGAAGGAGCCATGAGCAGAAAGGCGGGAAAGGGCAACCTGGGGACAGGCAGGGTGCTCGTGGAAGAGGATCCCCGTCCCTGCTTGCCACCAGCAGCTGTCTTCCCCGGCACCTAGTTTTCCCTCCATGGCAGCATCTGTCGCTCTGTCTCCCTCTCTCCAACATCCTGTCCCTCCCTGCTCTCTTCTGGGGTGAAGGGACAAGGGGCAGGACATCAGCTGTCCCCACCAGTGGGAAGTGGGGTCCAGGGGGATCCCAACCACCAGCCTTTCCCTCAGGTGGTAAAAGCCCCATGGCCTCATGGCCTCTGGCTGGAAGGGTCCACTGGCCCGGCCCAGCGGGCGCAGGAGAAAGGAGGCCCCCGCCTCACCTCCCACGATGAGCCAGAGACCTAAGCACGGCGTCCTGCTCATGGCCCACTGCAGCCCAAGTCTCCCAACCGGGTGTCCATGGGACCACGGTAGAGCGGGGCTCTTCCATGGACCCTCTTGTCCCTCCCAACCTGCCACTGGATTCTGGCTTCCTGGAATGGCTTCCCCCTCATTCTTACCCCCTCCTCCCTCTCTGCCCTTCCCTAGTGTGGCCACGTACCCCCTTGTAGGACCCTCAACCTCACCCCGTTTCTGCAGGTCTGTCCCCATTCTCCATCCCAAACCATCATTCAAAACTTCCCACCCAAACAGCTCTGGGCAGCCCCGACTCCATAAGCTCACCCCCCTTGTCTGCAGTTCCTTGCCTGGGGCCTCGGTTGGGGTGAGCTTCTGCTCACCAGGGTCCCACATGCCACCCTCCTCCACCCAGCCTCAGGAGGGAGAGGAAATGGTGCATGAGGAAGGACAAAGGGGAAAAGGTCACACTGGCAGCCAGGTGGGCGGGGAGGAAGGAAAGTGAAAGGTGACAGACAAGGAGCTGGGAGCTGCACGGGCCTGTCTCACATCGCCCCTCCCCCCACCCAGAGCGACTGAGAGACTGGGTGCTTCCCCGTCCAGGCTCACTGAGACCCGCCCTTCCAGGGCTCAGCTGGAGGCACCTGAGGGGTAGCGGGGTCCTGGCAGTGACCAACTAGGCTGGTGACCTTAGCCAGCATCCCCCTGCTGGGACAGGAGGGATGGTGGCAGCCACTTCTTCTGGGTCCCTGTTCATGTCAGCATCCCCAGGCAGAGCTCAGGGCCCGGGATGGCTAGGGGACCCCCACGCCCCCATCTCACCTAGCGCAGATCGCAGCTATCCGGGGGCCAGCAGACACAGGCGGCACCTGCTCCCGTCCCAGGCCAGAGTTTGCAAGCTGCTCAGCTGCCCTCCCAGGGAGCAGCCCGGTGCCAGTGGAAAAGAAAGCAGAAAGAAAGAAAGAAAGAAAAAGAAAGAGACGGGGTGAATCCAGGAGGGAGCAGAGAGGGAAGAGCAGCATGGGACAGTGGCGGGAGTGGGGAGGAGGAGGAGGAAGAGGAGGAAGGCTGCAGCGGCTCCCTCCCTGGCTGCCAACCTGTTGGCCACGCTGGGCGCGCGGTGCCCGGGACCATGTGCCTGCGCTCGCTCCGGCCGCCACCCAGCGCCTCCGGCGCCCTGGCGCTGCGCGGGCGCCCCAAGCGTCCGTGTGTCTGCAGCGGGTGGGTGTCCCCATCGGGCTCGCCGAGTGCCCCAAGTTGCCGCCGCTGCCCGCAGCAGGGACGCGGAAGCTGGCGCGGGGCGGTGGATTTACCTGCCGCCAAGACCTTCATTATGGGCTGGACTCCAGAGGGCCCTGGAGGAAACCTCAGATGCCGGCAGTTTTCAGAGGTCCATGCTCAAATGGGGAATTTGCCTGATTTATATACTGGAGCCTGTGTTGTAAGACAGAGAAACAGCTATATTTAGCCGGGATCCCCATCCAGGAAGTTGTTTGAGGTGCATCATAGGAAACTATGAATGGAAGAAAGTGAGTGAAGGGGGGAGGGGACGAGTGAGGTGGGAGGGTGAGCAGAGCAGCCTTTTTCCCTCTTCTAAGAATCTGATTGATAAAATTATAATGAAACCTTCCACCAAACGCCCTGCGGTTTTCCTGAGTGGCTTGCCCTCGGACTGTTTGAAGATGGGGATGTCGGGGAGGGGACCCCGGAGCGAGTCAGCGGGGTCCCCAGCAGTGGGCGCCCTGACTCACCTGGGTCTGGGGAGGTGGCGAGACCCTGGACAAGAGATGGAGGCTGGCACCTGTGGCCCCCTGGACTGGAGGTTTGGGGGGGCAGTGGAAGCCGGCCGGCTGGGGCTTGGCTGAGAAGGAGGCTCCAGGAAGAGGGGCTGGGGCCCGGCTTGGACTTTAGACGGTAATAAAGCGGAACTGAACGTGGGCGCTGGAAGCCACCCCAGAGGTAGCCTTGTTCAACCTGCCCATTGCCACTGGGCCAAGAGGGGCTCCAAGGGGAGCGTGTTGCCCAGGGCCCCAGAGGCTCAGGCCTCCTGTGCGCCATCAGTGTACCTGCTCTACTGACCACTGGTCCCTCGGCTAGGAAGACGTGGGGACGGGCTGGCTGTGACCCGGTTCTTTGGGGACAGTCCGCAAAGGAGCTTCTGAAAAGGCGGTCCGGCATTCCCATTCTGAAAGGGACACCCACAGCAAAGACCCAGGGAGCCTTGGCAAGGCGGGACCCCGACTTCCTCCCCAGGATGCTGGGGGGTGGGGGCGGGGAGAGCTAAGCCAGCCCCTCCCAGACCTGCCTGGGAAGCCCCTTGGAGCTCGGGGAAGGATGGCGGTCCCCAGCAGGCGCTTCTGGAGTCACAAGCTCTGGTGTCTGCCAGCGCCAGGCAGGTTCCAGAATGAGGAGGGTGGGCAGCAAGGAACGGTGGTGAGCACGGCAAAGTGAGCACAGCGACTCCTCCGAGAAAGGCAGTAAAAAGTAAAACCAAAACACTCCACGAGGTGGGGGCGCTGGCCAGACAACATGCCACACATCCGGGGCCATGCTGTGTCCGAAGCTGCCAACCCCCAGCCCCACCCTGTACCAGGAGACGTCTCAACCCCTGGGGACCCCACTCCAGCCCTCCCGCCGGACACTGACCTGAAATCAAGGTGGAAGAGTCGGTTTTTCAAGGTCAGGGAGCTCCTGCAGCCTTGGCCTGCCCCTACCCCTGCGACCCCCTTGGCCACCTTCCATGACCGCAGCTCCTGCCTCTTGCCACATCCCGGACCTGCCCAGCCACACGCTCCTCCCTCACCGCGCTAAGAGGAGCCCTTATCTTGCGGCCACACCCCCCACCCCGCCCTATCCAGGCTCTTGGTCCCCCATGCTCTCTCTGCAGGGGCCCACATGTGGGGCGATCAAACCGTCCCAGCGGGCATTTCCCAGCAGGAAGGAGGCCAGTAGAGCCCAGACTGGCCCTCCTTCCTGCCTCCCCCATCTCTTGTCTCTTCTTTGGGGGTCACGGAGGGCCCACCTGGCACTTACTGCTCCCACACACCTGCTCTTGGGTCAGCGTGCACCCCAGGAGGCCCACCCGCCCGGCCTGGCCCAGGACAGCCCAGCTCGCCTCCCTCTCCTCCCCTCCCCGCAGCGGCTCCCGCACGTGAGCTCTGCATCAGCCTCGGCTCCACTCCCACGCTGCCCAGAGCCTGTCACCTGCCCTGCCCTGGACCCTAAGCCCATGTGACCAGGGCCCCGTTGTGGCCCCAACTGTCAATCCCCTGTCCTCCCCCCGCCCCGGCTAAGTGTCTCACTAGGTGCTCTAGTTCTGGAGGCCACTGCCCTGTCCACTGTCCTGCCCCGCCTGTCCCCCGTGCCACCCTCCCAAGTGGACTCCCAGGGCCTCTGGCTCCCCAGGCCCCACACCAGCCATATAATCCACCCCCCCCCGTCGCCATTGAATCTCGGCCCCACCCCACAGGAAACAGGAAGTGAGGACAAGATCCAGAAGGCACTGACACTAGGGCCACTTAATCCCAGCCCTGACCAGGCCCTCCCATGCCTCAGTTTCCCCTCCCTCGGTACCTGGCTTGGTTCGTGCTCCCCAAGTGCTCTGGGCCCAGCCTCCCCCTCCTGTCCATGTCCAGGCATCACCTGTGCTGGGCCTCTGGGAGGAAGGCCGGGCAGGGGCTCGGAGCTCGAGTCTGGGAGCCGCCTGCAACGTGGCCGCGGCCCCCCAGGAATCGCCCGCCCAGGCTGCGCTCCAGGCCAGCTCTGGTCTCTGGGAGTTTGTTTTCTTCCCTCCCTCTCTATGCTGCTGTGTGTGTGTGTCCCCCCTCCCCGGCTCCCCCACAGAAGGCATCCTCCCTTCTTGGCTGCCTGCTCCTGGGGTCGTGACCCCAGGCCCCACCCTGGAGTGGCAGCCCCAGCCCAGCCCCTTCCAGCTGTGACTTCATCCTCAGCCCGTCCCAGGCTCCTGCACATGGGCCTGCTGGGGATTTGACCAGCCTCAGGGGGGGACAGTTGAGGCCCACAGGGGCACCTCCCCCAAGGCTGGGCAGGGGCTGCCAGGCGAGGCTGGGGTGCTGCCTCCACAGTCCCTCATGGCCCCCGTGTAGGCAGTGAGCACAGGCGCTGGCCCGGGCCTCTGGGAGCCCTTGGCGCTCGCTCTGTCTCACACACCGTGGCACAAGCGGCCACCCGCCCCTCCCATCCGGCCGACTTTTAGAATGTCATCCACAGCCTCTTCTAGAATGTCACAGCTGCTTATTTTTCAGATGGGGAAACTGAGGCTGGGAGAGGTGAAGGCATTTTCCCAGGGCCACACACAGAGCTAACAGTGAAGCCGAGTCTGGAGCCCGGGCCTCTGGCTTTTGGGGCACAGCGGCCCCGCACCTGATGAGGTTCCCTCCCCTGAGGAGAGCCAGGGACACGGCAGGGACACGGCAGGGACACGGCAGGGATACACAGGCCGGCTTCTTCCAGGCAGCCTCCTCTGCCCCCACCAGCTCTGGTCTGCCTTGTCCCGCCTGCTGCTGTTTCAACTGGGGACAGGTCTCGTTCTCCGATCTTTGAGGGCTTTTAAGGGGCCTGACACTCATTTGTACTGTCGATGGCACGTGGCTCGGGTCACACCGAGAGTTGATGCGAAGTATTTTTGAAAGCATTTTACAATGTCCAAGTCTGTCTGTGCCAAATCTCTGGTGGAGGAGACGGGGAGGTCTGGTGGCTTGAAGGACACACTCCGGCCTCATTCCCATCCAGGCTGGAGCTTGGGCTCTGCCAGGCACGAGCTGGGTGCCTTGGGGGAAGGGACCACTTCCTGGCCTCAATCTCTTCATCCGAGCAATGGGAATAATGGTACCTGCGTAGCGGGTTTGCTGGGAGGGCTCAGGGCTCAGCGTGGTTCTGGGCACCCCAAAGCCCTCTCTGTCCATGTCGGCACTGACTGTGTTGACGCCCCTGTGCAGCAGGGGTCCGTGTCCCCGTGTGACAGATGAGGACACTCTGGCACTCTGCAGGGCTGAGGGCAGAGTGCGAGCAGGGCAGGGGAGGCACCCCTCAACCTCCTCCTGATGGGAAATAGAGGCAGGACCCCCTCAGGGACTCCAGCGTCAGGGGCGCCCTGGAAAGATCAGATGGGTTGGGGGCTGGCATGGCAGTGGCGGTGTGCCCCCTGGCCTGGCCTGGCCCCTCACCACCCCCACCCAGGCCCGAGCTGAGGACAGCAGCTGACCCGGCCTCGCCGCCCCCAGAGGCTGATTCACCCCCAGGCCCCGTCCGAGAAGGAAGGAGACACAGCTCTGCTCAGAGGGGCTTGAATCACCAGACGCTCCCTGCAGAGCCCCAGGGGGGGACGAGGGGGCGGCAGCCAGCCCCTGCCTGTCTGTCTGTTTCTTCCCTGGGCCCCGGGGCGCTCAGGAGAGAGGGCAGCATGGCAGTGGCCATCGGCAGGGGTGGGGGGCGGTCCCCTGCAGCCGGGCATCCTGTGTGGGCAGCAGCAGCAGTTACTCACCAGGTAAGCAGCTCTCCGGGCATCGGGAATTCCCCACGACCAGTGACCCAGAAACTGAGCGCTCCGGCTCCCCCCTGCCCAGGACAGCCCCCCTCCTTCCTTCACCACCCCCTCCCTGTCCCCAGCTAGGAACTCGCTTCTCTGAAAACCCCGCCGGCAGCAGCTCTTAGCCCCCCCCCCCCCCGTCTGCGGCCCCCACCCAGGAAATGGGCACAGAGCCATCAGGTGGGCCCAGGGAGGGGGCTGGAGGATCCCAAGCCCAGGGCTGTTGAGGGTGGCCAGAGGAGACA